GTAGCCCAGATATATATGAACGTTATGAAGTAATTCAAGTGGATAATTATTTTGAGAAGAAGCAATCTATATCAAGTTATGGAATGTCAACAATTCGATTCTCGGCTCATTGGAATGTTATAAAGCTATCATAGATGGAGATTTTTGAGAATAATAACCGTATTTTCTTCTTCCAGAACATTAAACTGATTCTGTGAAAATACTAATGGTTATATTGGAAACATACCAGTTCTAACTAACGAAAATAGTCGATTCACTCGTTATTAAGAAACAAAGAACACTAAATAGATATTTCTCCTTAATTTGAAACTCCTCCAAAGTAAATAGCTGTCAGTTTGCAAAACGTATCAGTGTGAATTCATTCAGATCTCTTAAATAAAGTGTTACTATTAGATCAGTGAAACCGAATTCATTGATTCATGCTTTCAACTTCAAGTAATGACTTATTTCGAACGACTACAATTCATCAATAAATTGTTCATTTCATCTTATGCTACTAATTACAATAGTAAGTAGTAGCAAGCTAAATTAAAGGTCCATCTATTTTCCTTCTTAGTAAAAGTTAAAATAACAACAGAATAATCCAGTACACAGTTTTAAATAATTTATACGAATATTTGTCAAGATTAGGAAGAATAGTTTGGATGAAACGTAGAGAATTACCACAAACATCATCGAAATAGTACAAGTATTTATTAACAATTGTCTACGTATGATACTCATTGTTCGTTGTTGGCCGGATGTCATCAACAACAACACGCTCTAACATAAAACAAATCAACATCCAGTTGAAGAGGAAATTAGGAAAACATGTTGGAAGTGTATGAGAAATACATTGCAACAATCACCAAATCACATCACGAGAGAAGTTTTCAGTTGTAATCTTGAAGGTGGAAGGAAAAGAGGCAGACGTAAGAACACTTCGTGTCGATAACTGGATACAGACATTAACAGAATGAATATGAATTGGAAACACGTAGAAAAGAAAATTAAGGACAGAGTTGATTGGAGAATCGTGGTAGGTGGCCTATGCTCAATTTATTCAAAACAATCAGGCCCAATCTTGTCATTGATACCTATGAATTTATTTCTTGTTTGCATAATATTTTTTTTCATCATCACTATAGATAATATAAGTTGATTTATGCGAATAATCCTAAATCTACAATAATCGCAATACTATATAACAACACCCCATCCCTCAACAAGAGACTGACCACATAAAATTCAACCATTCGTTGCCATAGCCACCAAATACAACACTAAAAGTACAATGTGCACTTTGTGTATATATATCGTATTATACAGAATTAAAATTTCATGTGGTTATCTAATATACGATAGAACATTATACATCATAAATAATGATATGACACAACGAAGAAACTAGCGGGAAAACATAGTAAACCACAACGACCAGTCAATAACCAGGGAGGCAAGCCAGTCACTGAGATTCAAAAACAGAGGAATAGGTTTGTTGAACCAAAAAATCAATGCCACTTGATGTTGTTTACTTGTATCTTCCGAATGTTATTTAGGACTGTAACTGATCAGTCTCATACTGACATAAGTACATCCTATGCCAACTGCTTCGATATTGCCTTAGATCATAAGCTTTATTAGCCAAGATGGATAGCTAAATGGATAACACGATGGCGTTTGAAGCGGACGGTACTAGGTTCGAGTTCCAGAGTGAACATTAACTCTGAGATGCAGGTACATTCAGCTGACAAGTCACAAATGGGACGAAACGCGCATCCTAGCTATTATCCATCTTTGTTAACAAAACATTAATGATTCCAATCTGAATAACATGAGTTTAGTTAATGAGTTGTAATTTATGAATTTATGAAATATGAAAATAGATTGTTCAAAAACTAATTTCCTGAATTTCCAGGTAGTTTTGTTTTTGTTCTTCATGTTTGGAGTTTATCCGCAACGTTTTTAGTATTTAATAATCGTGAAGTATCCAGCACTTATGATGAATGCTGGACACTGTACCATAAATTACATAAATAGGTTCATTTCATTTTTTTTAACTCATCAAGTTGACTTGACCATTACAAATGGTAATGCATCAAATATATAGGACAATTAAACAAAACAGTTAGAGTAACACATAATCCCAGCAAAATGGCAGTGAAAAGAATGAACGCAGTCAAATCAACTAGATGTTAAAGATATTTGAGTAAGACAACCAAACATTGAACAAATCATGATACATACATACATACATACATACATACATACATACATACATACATACATACATACATACATACATACATACATACATACATACATACATACATACATGGAGGGTGAGGACCACTGGGGAAATCTTAGAGAGTTTCTTGCTTATCTATTGTTCGACGCCAAACCCTCAGACGATTAACGGTTTCTCTCCAGCAGAAGCTTTACTTGGCCGAAAAATGCGATCACATTTCGATGTCATTCGTCCCACGTCAGCTCTTGAGCCTCAACGAAACCTATCGATGTAGAAGCAGTTCAATCGACGTCATGGGGCACAAACGATTGTTCACGATAGGTCAAAAAGTACTTGCTATGGACTGTTATGGAAAAAATCCTACATGGATAGTTGGTCGGATCGTGCAAAAGAAAGGGAATATGGTTTATGAGGTGTCAGTTGGTTCAGAAGTTTCGGCGCGTTATGCTAACCAATTAAAGGAAACTTCAATATTCAGCAACGAGACTCGATATAGAATACCTCTTGACGTTCTGCTAGACTCCTATAAAATCAAAACCCCTAGAACAGACAGGCTAATTTCTGTGCAAGCAAGGAGTTATAACACTTCTTTATTGCCTAGACGATGAACAAATCGAAAACACAGGCTAGTCACATAGTTGCAGTTGGACCCTAGCACGAGATCCTACGAATCTGCTGAAAGATGAGGTGTTAGAGGAATACATATTGGATTAAAGCATATACCGTGCACGATTGTGATTGTGCACGCTGTTCGGTTGTTTCTTATCCAATGAGCGCCAGCGGATACTTGGAGAAGACTCTAAAATCTCATATAAAAACTATAAATATACTAACGTTTTTCTTAATGAGCTTCCTACCTCCATGTAACCTTGTTATCCGGAATATAATTTCGTTCCCGTTGAACCGTTCTATGATTTGGGGACTTGTCGAGTGAATTGGTGTCGAAGGATACTAAGCATTAGGAATAGCTGGGCCGTAATAACAGACATTAAAACATCAAGAATCATATGACGCCAGGAATTGAAGGGAAACTTTGCAAGTATGAAAAACACATGGGATTAACTGGAAAGGACAACCCAGAATATAGGTGGTTGGCGATTCTTGGTCGAAACCCAAATCCTCAAGAGATGCAATAGGCTAAAGTAAAAAAAATCAACAAACATTTTGTATGTTAACAAAAAACCTTAATTTGAAGCTTAAATCATGCAGTATATAATTGATTCAATCTCATCTGTTCAGTGAATGAATAACAAATATCCTATCAATAATATTACAACCTAATATTTGGACTGTTATTACAGTTGTAGATTATAGTAATTTAAAAACTAATATGATGATATAATCTAGTTAGTGGAAACTATTCGAATTGAATTGTTTTTTCCTAAGTTCAATGTCCAGTTATTAGTTGAGGGAAATATTGAAAATTTTCTACTGACCAAAGCTTATTATTTATGTTACTTGCCATTACATGAGTTTCTGATTTTTGTTTAGTTCACTAACTGTAGATTGATTTCAGATATTAAAAACATTCCCAAAACAATAACAGTCAGAAAATGCGGATTAAATAAGTGAGATAAAGTCTAATTTGAATATTTCTCATCTACTACTACTACTACTACTACTACTACTACTACTACTACTACTACTACTACCACTACTACTACTACTACTGCTACTACTACTGCTACTTTCGATCTCGCGCGCAAACGCTTAAGAACTAGATCACTGAGCCATCACTTAACGGTGTTAATGTCTAACATCAACTAGTCCACTACATTGCGCCACCATCCACAATTATCTTCAGTGAGTTTCTATCTCACAACAGATCTGGTTGAACTTCACTGGTGATGACTTCTCACTAGAAATCCAGGAAATACTTCTTGAAGCCAGTCACTAACGCGAGTTAATTCGACATTTATATACGAGAGTAACCAAAATATGTATATTTCGATAATTCGATAGCAATCATTATGCGATCCAAAATAAACTCAGATCTTGAGCCACTAAAAATGGAATTGGAAGAATCATGAAAAATATACAGATAAAATCTTTCATTGAGATCATGAACTGATTAATGTTAGACCACCACTGAAAATCTGGGAGCACTGGACGGCCATTTCGCCCTATTGTAGGACTCCTCAGCAGTGCGCATACACAATCCCGCACCCCGCGAGATGTAGTGTATCAATAGAATCAGTGCTAATATCTTTAAGTTGTTAATAGTCTTTTCAATTATTAACATACCTAATTTTATCATCTGAAGTTGAACAAAAGTTCTAAGAGAGTTTCGTGTACTTATGAGTAAGTTTTGAATCTCATCTACTGGATATGAATGACAAGTTCCAATTATTAAATCAGTGCATATTTTATTTGTCTAAGTTATTGTATTAGTGTAAAATCGCTTCAACGGTATTCTTCTGTCTCAATGACCATCTCCAACAAAAAATCTTATACTTGTATGTGTCCATCAGTAGTCTTAAAGTTGACTAGTTCTGACAGAATGTCATTTACAATTCTACTGAAACAATCAATCATGTAATTATGATAAAGGTGTTTTACAAAAGACCAAACCATCCAGCTCAGAGAACAAAACTCCATCAAAATTAATTTTATGATAGATAGTAACTTATTTGGATTTCAAAAAGGGCAGTGATTTTTGTACTTGTTGTGATTATACTTGCTTTTGGTACTTATTGCACTAAAAAGCATTCTTGGTCTACTTTAACTAAGAGTTCTTTGGTTAAAGTTTGAAATTTTTTACTAAATTTTGTCCTGAGTACCTGTTTTTAGTCCTTGACTAACATTTGTGTTCACATTGTTATCATTTTTTGTTTTTAAACCTTTTAAATCGAATTACAATGGTTGGTAAGACTCACAAATGTGGGCAACCAAATTGTTTGTTCTCCGTTGAGGAGGGAATGCAGTGTGACGACTGTAAAAAGTGGTATCACAAAATGTGTACACGACTAAGTCCGACGGCTTACAAAAGATGCTCGAAGCCTAACTCGCATTGGCTTTGTATGTTCTGCTGTACGGATAAAAAGGTACTAATACAGGAGGCTATGGGCCTATTGGCTTTGGCCTGCAAGAAAAATGATGGCGGAAGCACTGATAACAGGAGCACTGACGATGAAGAATGTGTTAGTGTAGTAAGTGCTGCTACTGGACCCATTAAACACCTGACTGCGGTTGACGGGAACGTGAAATCTCCGTTGACATTAACGAGAAATGAAGTGTCGCTTGATAATGACATCGGCAGTCATACACCTCTAGTCGAAATAGAAGATCCGGATAAAACTGTCACCGTTCCACATAGTCCAGGTGTGGCTGTTCTGAGTGGTGACAAATGGACTTCGGTAAGAAGAAAAAAAATAAGAAGAAAAAGGCTGTAGGCAAAACGCAGCTGGTCAGCAAAACATTGGAAGGGATGTTATCAGAAAAAAAGTTCCCACCGCGTGAAAAGACAGATCTCTCTGATAGATCAGTCATTTTTCATAAGATAAGAGAATCTTCAGATACTGAACCAAAGGCAAGATTTGAACATGATCTCAATCATATTAAGACATCATTAAGTAAACTACTCCCAGATACAGTTTCAGGAGTTAGTATTTGTAAGCTTTATAGAATAGGAAAAAAGGTGGATTCCGAAAGTCCTCCAAAAAACCGCCTCCTAAAGGTTACATTCAACACGGTGGAAGAAAGGAACCTGATTCTAAGTAATTCACGTAAACTGATTGGATCCGGAATATATGTCCGTGAGGACCTCAGCCTAGCTGATCGTATTAAGAGAAGAGCTGCAGAAGCGGAAATAAACGAGCGTCGCCGAAACGGTGAAAGAAACCTCGTTCTTAAGGGTTTTCAGATTGTAAAAGTTCGGAGCAAAACGATCCCCAAGCCACTCTGGGTGGCAAGGGAAAGCTCTCCACAGACTTAAAAGTGTGCTACACAAATGCTCGCAGCCTACTAAATAAAATGGCGGAGCTGAAGTCAGTGGTGGACAAAGAAAAACCGGACGTTATCGCTGTCTCGGAAACTTGGTTAACGTCAGAAGTATTAGATAGTGAAATCCAATTGACTGGTTTCATAACCAGTAGGGCTGATAGATTAAACCGAAGGGGAGGCGGGGTTATTTGTACACCAAAAGTACCCTAACCATAAGATTAGCTGAGACAGTAGCACATGTTTCAGGGACATGTGAACTGGTGAGATGTAAGTTGAAATGCCGAAGGCAAGATATTGAAGTAGTTGTAGTTTATCGCAGTCCAGAATGTGTAGCAGATGATTTTCTCCTTAGTAAACTTAAGTCCTGGTGTAACAACGGTAAAAGCCTTGTAGTAGGCGACTTTAATGCACCATATATAAACTGGGTTAACTTAGAAGTAGGGTCATCCATATCGTCGTTCGACTCCAAACTGTTAGAAACCTCGATTGGACTAGCATTATTCCAACACATTAGAGATCCCACAAGATACGACTTAAGAAACTCTTCTCTTTTAGATTTAGTCTTCACACACGGTGATGACGTTGGTCAAACGGCTTTTCTCCCACCACTTGGGAGAAGTGACCATGCAGTCATCTTATTCAAATTCATGGCTGAGATTGCTTGTCAAACAATTGCGCCGGCCCGTCCTAACATATGGAAGGCAGATATGCAGGCAATTAACTCCGCAGCATCGGCTGAGAACTGGGAAATCGACTCAAAGGCATCAGTACAAGAGGCATGGACTCTATTCAGGCAGTTATACAATCGGGTAACTCAACCATACATACCCTGGACTGTCCCAAAGAAAAAGAAGCACGGACATCCCTGGATAGGGCGGGATATTCGACGCTTACTAAGACAAAAGAAGAAATGCTGGGATGTTGCCATCCGCCTTGGCACAGCGGGTACGATGGAACGTTACAGATCGATAAGAAACGAGTGTATAACTAAAATTCGGGAAGCGCAAAGAAAATATGAAATGCAGCTGGCAGAATCTGCACTCAAGCAGCCCAAGAGGATATTCTCGTACATAAACTACAGAACAAGGATTCATCATTGGATTCCCAACCTAATTAAAGTAGGAAGTGAATCTGAAATGATAGAGGAAGATCAGGAAAAAGCTGAGGTTATGGCTGACTACTTTGGGGCAGTTTTCACTCAGGAACCTCCTCTAGAGAAAGAACCAGACCCAATTACAGAGTCAACAAACCAGCTGCTCACCGTGGACTTCGACCAAAACGATGTGCTTAAGGCTCTTAGCACCCTAAACATGGAGAAGTCAACAGGACCAGATGAACTACACCCTAAAATCTTGAGACATATTGCCCAATATATCGCAGCCCCACTGACTGTGATATTCAAAATGTCACTTGACCAAGGTGTGTTACCTATGGACTGGAAGGACGCAATCGTCACTCCCATACATAAAACAGGACCAAGACAAGTTCCATCAAATTACAGACCCGTAAGCCTCACCAGTGTTGTAATTAAAATACTGGAAAGAATAATCAAACGGACCATAACAGCATTTATGGAAACCAATAACTTGCTGAACATGGCACAACATGGTTTTAGAAAGGGTCTATCCTGTACAACGAACCTCCTTATAGCTAGGGAGCTCTGGATTAATGCGCTAGACAACGGAAACTCAGTGGATGTTGTCTACATAGACTTCAGTAAGGCTTTTGACAAGGTGCCAACTAATAGGCTGCTATTGAAGTTGACAAACCTTGGTATTGCCGGACCTCTTTTAAAATGGATTAAGGATTTCCTAGTAGGTCGTAGGCAAAAAGTAAGAATAAATTCCAAGTGCTCCATCTGGAGACCAGTACTTAGTGGAGTACCCCAAGGTTCCGTCTTAGGTCCTTTACTTTTTATAATGTACGTTAATGATCTTACAAGTATAGTACAGTCTCCAATGTTATTATACGCTGACGATGTAAAAATTTGGCGAGTAATAACTGGAGACAAAGACGCATTTACTCTTCAGGCGGACTTAAATAATATGATAAACTGGTCTAAAGAGTGGCTAATGCCTATCAACTCGGAAAAGTGTGTCTACATGCACTTGGGGGATTCAAAGGTTAATACGTACAACATAGGGGATGTGTCATTACCCGTAGTCCGGTCTCATAAGGACCTAGGGGTGACAGTGAGCAATGATCTTAAGACGACGGCCCATTGCCGGGAGGTCGCAGTTAAGGGGTTTCGAACCCTCTGGGCTTTAAAAAGGACATTCACTAAGCTTGACACTACCATGTTCACCACATTATACACATCCTTAGTGAGAACTAAGTTAGAGAACTGTGTTCAGGCTGCAAGCCCCTGTTTAAAGGTGACTCGGACATAATAGAAAAGGTACAGAGGGCAGCTACGCGTGCAATTCCGGAACTCCGGGTTTATCATATAAAGAGCGGCTTGAAAAACTGAACCTCTTTACTCTGTCCTATCGCAGACTAAGGGGAGATCTAATATTGATGTACAGAATACTGAGAAATGATTTCGGACCTAACTTATTCTCTCTCTTTCTTCCCACTAGATCGGGACACCTCAGAGGACATAGCAGGCGAGTAGAAAAGCCAAGAACGAACAAAATACCCGTGGCATACAGGTTTTCACACCGAGTCATCAATACTTGGAACCTGCTGCCTGAAGCAGTGGTGTCCGCACCTTCAATTGACTCTTTCAAGAGAAGACTGGACACTCACAGAAGCATACTAGAAAAGGAATAACATAGGCCGTAGGCCTTCTCTCCTTACTACACAAATCTGAATCTGAATCTGAAATAATCAAGAGGTCTTCCATTTGGAGAGATGTGAATGTTGGGGATGGTTGGAAGAGAGTTAGGGGCGACCAAACCAAAAAGAGGTATCAGTCCTTGAAATCACTATCTTCTAATCTTAGTCATATTGGTAGATGCAGACTACTTGGTTGGGGTCCGCCTTTAAATTATGCATATGATCACTGTTGTATTTGTGTTAACATGTGAGAATAACTAGTTAAGATCATAACATTTCATGAAGAAGAAGAAGTAGAAAGAAACATGCTCACTGACTTAGAAGATAGTTTCATCAGGATTGTTGTATCATATCACACTTTCATTTTACTCTAGAGTAGTTAGTCTTTAGTTAGTGCTAATCATATTGATAATAGGGGTATATTAGTTTTAACATAACTCAAAATTATTAATAGCCTTTGTTTCATTTGAGTTTGGTGTCAGAATAAATCTAAATTTTTCTTCTATAAAACTATGAAATACTAGTTTTTTCTGTTCAGTCAATTAGTTTTCTTGTTTCGTATGGTATTTAAGAAAACTTTACTGATAAGTCAATCGTCCTAAACCTTACAGATTAATGGTTTAATATTAAGAATCTTTCAACAGTAAACTCAAGTATTGACTTGGTTGTTACATTCCATTATGTACATTGTTATCTCAACTTCAAAATTGTTACTTCACATACCTTCAATATTACTATCTGCTCAATTTTCAACCTAATTATTATTAGGTGAACGAAATTGCTCTTTCTATTACTAGACACTAATGGTCAATATCGATTAGTTGTTCTTTGATTTATCTGCTAGTTCTACATTGTGTTATTTACTGTATGTAAACACTAATAGTATTACTTGTATTTATGTTAAACTATCAAATATGATATACTTACACCTGTTACCCATCGTCGAGAAGCACATACCGCACATCAACAATCTCCATCCTTCCCAGTTGATATTCATCCTCTTGATCTTACTCTTTTCCACTTCCCTTCACGATTCCAAGTTAGGGCTTGCCTCGTGATGCAGTTTGGTGATTTGCGTAATGTATGTCCTATTCACTTTCAACATCCTTTCCTAATTTCCTCATCAGCTGAAAGCTGATTTGTTCTCTCCCACAGTAGACTGTTACTGATGGTATCCGGTCAATGGATGTTGAGTATTTTGTGTAGACAACTATTTATAAATACTTGTACCTTCTTGATGATTAACTATTCAACATAGTTAATATAATCACATCTGAATCCTCCTACTAGCGTTTTCTAAATTAATGCATTTCATTTGCTTATATATATATATATATATATGGTGAATATGAAGATTGTGACCAATTCCTGAGTAATTGCTTAAAGATCCCTATCATATTAAAAGACTGATATTTGAACGAAGAATATTCTCTTCAAGTTCTACAAATATCTCATATCGAAATTAATAATCGGAAAAGTGGCCAGGTTCAAGGCAAAGTGCATCGTTTAAAGCTAAAGCATGTGAATTGTAGGATTGTCAAATGATATAGAATAAAATTGTTTATGTTGATATTTCACCGATAATAATTAAATAAAAGTGCAGAAAAAAACAGCAACAAAAAAATAACACAGAAACAGACCCATCAAGGGAATTAGGACCAAGGAAGGATGAGACGTTGGACAAATCGTTTCTGCACGCAAAGTTCAGGCTTGAGTTTGTGGATT